AGAGTAAAATAATAAAAAGAACAAATAGCTAGTCATTTCTTGATAGTTATATTCAGTTAATGGAAAATATTTTAGTCAAAATAATTAGCTATTTAACTACTAGTTGGAGTGGAGAAAATCTAAAAATAATAATAAATAAATTATTAACTATTTTGGCTAAAAACATAAATTGCTAGTATGATTAGAGTTGTTCTTAATACTTTCACTGCTCACTTTCTTTGCCTTTGATTTGCTTTTATTTTTAATAAAAAAATTTTATTTTGTATATTTTTTAATGTGAATTTAAACATATCTGACCGTTGAAAGTGATTCACTTTTGATAAGAATCCCTATTGTAAATTGACCTTACTCTTATAATTATATACTTTACTCCCATCATTTTTGGGATTTGATACAATCAAACTCCTATAAAATTATAAATTATATAAATTTATAAAAAAAAAAAGATAAAGAATTTTACATAAGACCGTGTAAATATCTTATCGACTATGTGTCCTATTTTACATCGTTGAATTTGTATAAGTATGTTTTGGTAGTTTTGTATATTTTTGTGTTGACATGATTTTAAGAAGCTTATTGTGAAAAGCTCTAAGATATACCATGGATTTTTTTTTTCTTAATGTACCATGGATTTTTTTTTTAATGTACCATGGATTTTTGAATGTTCTCAATATTATACCATAAATTTTCTCTTGGTTAAATGTTAATGTTTACCATACTAAGTGTGAATCTATAGACTGGTGAATAAAGTTTAGGATAATTTATTTAAGCAGTACTATAGTGTCCGGTTAATTTATAGGTTTGAATTGAGAATTTAGTTAATTCGGATTAGTACCTTAAAGAGAAAAAAGAGGTATAGTTTGGATTTTCCAATCTTGTTATGATTCACAATTTAAACCCCTTTTAAATTTTCTTAATTTAACCTACATGCATATGCTATGGTAAAAAGCAAATTAATAAGTCCACTATTAAATTTTTTTTTTTGCTTGAAAATATTAATTTTTGTTTCAGAACTCAAATTATTGTTTTCAAACTATTCAAACACATTCATATCGTGCTCCTATAGTTTGTAACTTTTTTTTTAATAATTTCCTAATTTATAACTTTATATTTATAATTTGTCTGTTTATCCAGTTGAAACTAACCTACAAACTAAATAAAGCCTAATGAGAGTGCAATTGTTGAGGACATTCAAAGTGCACTCACTAAAGTCACCATCCACATTTTTATATTCTCTACATGGGAGTGTAGGATAGGGCATGATATCACGTCATGGGCCCCACCAATTCCAGGTGTCTGATCCTGGATGATACAGCTGATGAATGGCCAAGATTTTGACAGCTCATGGCCTTTTCTTTTTTTTGTATCTTATGTAGTGTCGAATGAGAGTGTGTATGTGTGGACTGAGGGACAGAGTGCAAATGGGACTGAGGAAGGTAGTGATTATCTATGATGACATCCTGGACTTGTTAGGGCGTAGTGGGTCCCATTACAGTACATCATCACGGTGGGAAATCAACTACGTTTTGATGGATGCTCACTCATTATATTTTGGATGGTTGTGATTGGTGGTCTGGCTTTCGACATTATTACTTCTTGACCTGAGAGATATTTACGGTTCGTTATTTAAATTAAAATATAATTTTATGTGAAAATTTTTTATTATAATAAAATTTAAAATTTAAATTAAAATTAGTAAAATAAATGAAGTGTTAAAAAGAAGTCTTTGAGATGTTCTAGTGTTGTTGTTCATGTATTAGTTATGTTGTTGAACTACTAACTTATTAAACCCCCGTTTAGTTTATTTTTAAAAAATTTTATTGGTTTAAATTTTTTAATTTAAATAGAAAAATTTAAACTGTGTAGTTTAAATTGAAAGTTGGATGTGTAGTTAAAATTTTAATTTAAACAGTGCATAAAATTTAAATTTGTGTTTAGTATGTGTGAAAAACATAGAGAATTGACACTTTTTACTGTTTAAAAATAGTTTGAACGGTTGAACTTGAGAAGAGAGCTAAAAGTTTAGGCTGAGCCGTTTAATTTAATTCAAACGGAGAATATAATTCAAATTGCATGTTTACAAAATGTCAATTCAAAATGTACTCACTGTTCAAACTAAATTGAACTAAACTAAACCATTAAAACAAACAGGGCTAAACTTTCCTTCTTTCTTTGCATGAATTTATTTATGAAAATCAGAAATGCAGGACTGAATCGAAGAGTTTTTAAACCAGTTCCTTTTGTTTTCATCCCCAATTCACAAAATGTAACCTAGAGGGGGTGAAACTTTATACTCTTTGGCTAAAATTAAACGGCAACATCATAAACTATTTGATGTTGTCAAAGTATTGTAAAACGAGAATAGAGGTAGCAGTTTAATGGCATTGGATTTACTTCATAGCTAGCGGGTTTGGTTGATTGGAGGTTCTGAGTTCTTTTGAGGCTATTTTCAAGCTACCGGTTTAATTAATTTTCATTAGTTTTATATAAAATGGGACTAATGAATTTGATCACACTCGATCAGAGAATAATTACGACTTTGTCATCGTCCCTAAAAAAAAAAAAAACATGAAGAGCGGGAGAAATATATAAAGGAAAATTATAACTATCCCAAGAAGGAATATTTTTATTGTTAAATATATTTTATTATTATTAATTATTTTTGTATGTAGTTCATGATACCCACACCCAATGACATGAGATGTGCACACCATTCTTGTGATACGTAAGAAAAAGAAGAAGAGGGGAAAAAACCAATACATGAAGTCAAAGAACATAAAAAGGAGGAGGACCACCGGAGCTTATATATATATATATATATATATATATATACATGATACCCCAATGACATGAGATGTGCACACCATTCTTGTGATACGTAAGAAAAAGAAGAAGAGGGGAAAAAACCAATACATGAAGTCAAAGAACATAAAAAGGAGGAGGACCACCGGAGCTTATATATATATATATATATATATATATATGC